GCGCCATAGACCTCCATTATTTGAATGTCAGCAGACAGCAAGAAGCCTCCCAGATCTCCAGATGCATTTGAGATATCAAAAAAGTACACCAGAGTGTTTTTCAGCATGGGGGTGAGTAGAAAATGAAGGCTAATCATGTTTTGGGTGTACTATTCCTTTAAGAACTGCATTATCAATGGAAAAGTCTGGAGTGGAACCATTAGAACCATTAGAGAGAATAATAAAACAACTGATGATTTTACACAATCTTCCAATTGTTTCCCGATTTAATACCAAAGCCATAATGTTCCAGTGTTAACGTGATCAACTGTTGTTCTATTGAATTTAAGTCTTGTTGAAATCCAACTTGAAAACGAAGCCTTCATCTCATATAAGCCCTCTGCATCCAATTAGATTCATGACAAGCCTTATGTCATTATGAGAATAACGAGCCACAGAAGCTGCTGGGTTACAGCTGTAAGCTTTGCCTGATGAACACTTTTCCTTCTTCTCAGTGTTTGGAAATGTCATGAAGACAAATTAAATCTTCCACGTGAGGAACTTGATTAAATCGCCTCATTCTCAACATTTTTTGAAATTAAGGGGGAATGTTTACCGTTAAAATAGTTCCAACTAAAGGTTTAAGTGTTAAACTCACTGAGGTGTGTTTGTTTAATGTCTATTTTATTTTTCTGATATTTTTCTTTATGAGCAGACGTTTATCCTAAAGACCAACTTATTCATTTTCTTTAATGTTTTATTTTTCTATTTTTAGAATGAGTTTTACAAATGGCATTTTGCAGGTCACATTTTGTTCTCTTCATTATCCAACAACAAATGTTGACTGACAACTAAAATGTTCCAAAAAAGTAAAAAAAATAAACCACTGGACCTTGTTTTCCAAGTTTAGAATGTTTCGTTATGTTTTTAAACTTGGAAAACAAAGTCAAGTTGGTTTTTATTTTACTTTTTTGGAATGACTATAACCTGGATGACTGAGAATCTTCACCACCATACTAAAATGTCATTTATAATATCCATGCAGACAATGTGATCTGTAAAACACAGTTAAATAGAACACAATTTGTAAATTTCATTCTGAAAAAATAAGAATAAAACATTTGAAGAAATTGAATATGAAAAAAATGGTTTAAAAGAATAAGATATGAATAAATATGAATATATATGAATATGAATAAAGATAATTGTTTCAAAATTAACAAATTAGAGCAATATGGGATCAGGGGACTGGCACTAGAGTGGGTAAGAAGTTATTTAAAAAACAGGAAGCAATTTGTGAAGATGGGAGCTCATCAGTCAAGATGTTTGGACATTGTGTGTGGTGTACCACAGGGGTCGGTCTTGGGTCCTAAATTATT